GGGGGTTGTTGAGGGAGACTTGTAATTTTTTTTTTTATTTTTTTTTTTTTTTTTTTTTTGCTTATGGACCTGTAAACCCCAAATCCCTGATATGTAGCAAGGCTTTGAGTCTTTGAAAGTATACTTGCTTCTTACTTTGACAAATCTATAGTTCAGGTTTAAGATGCCTAGAGTGACTGACTGCACAGGTGACGCTACATTGCTGTCATCCCTCCAATGACCATAGCTGATTTCATTGCATGGGCAGTTTGAACTACATTGTTTACATCTGTCTGATGCTGGATAGTGGAGGTGTGCTGCTTGGGTGACATAAGAGACAGCCCCTTTGGTACGTAGCTGGGCTTAAAGGAGAACTATGGGGTCAGGGCTTTTCCCCATAGTTCTCCGAAGGGTAACGGGAGGACACAAACTAGCGTCCTCCCGTAACCCAAAGCTGCAGCTTGCGGTATACTGAGGCACCGCAGCTGAAGCGGATCCCGACAATTATGTCTGGATCCGCCTAACTGCGTGAGTGACAGCTGGCTCTGCCTCTAGGTAGAGGTGTGAGGTAGAGGTGTACCCTCCCCCGTCCGTTCCGCCAGTCAGCGCTGGAGGATCGGACAGGGGAGGGGAGAATCCAATCACTCCCCTGTCACGGCTCTCTGCAGTGACAGTATCGAGAAGTGAGCGAGCGCCGTTATGTGTTCGCTCACTTCCTGATCTACTGAGCCGACCTGTGACAGTTTAGTTGTCAGCTCAGATTATGAGGCTGAGTGAAAAGCACTCGCCTCATAATTCTCCTTTAAGGAGGAAATGGGCAACAAAATATAAAGCACATTTTCAGGTCTTGGATTAAGTGAGGAGGGTTGAAGCTGAGTGGAACCCCCCCCCTACACTAAGGCCACTTTCACATGGGCAGTCCATTCATAGTGGCCTGTCAGGTTTTTCAGGTGGATGTGATCGGAAGCCCAATGTAACTACATGGGCAGTTGTGTGTCCGTTTAAGTCTGATTACCTTTTTAACTCCGTGTAGGTCCAAAACAAAAAAAAAGGAACCAAGTTCCACTTTGGTGGTCCTGATCGTGACAGATTGACTGTAAATGGATACATGTCCACTTAGATCTCACTCCCTATAGGACCTAATGTGTTTGTACAGCTTTCCTCCATCGCTAGTTGGAGACCAACTCAAAGCAGAATTTTAGCTTTTGTCACAGTTGCACTTGGAATGGAAAAGAAGCTGACCACTTAACCCACCATGAGTTTTATGCTGCGCTTATTGATGTGTTTAGGTTATCAAGCTTCTATTTATCAAATGTAAAGTATTCATTATCAAATCCTTATCTTTGCACTTTGTTTAATGAATATACATTATTTTGTAGTTGAGGCAATGAAGAAGGTGGAAGAGATCAAGCGTAAGCGGCAGACGCAGTTTATCATGAACAGGTGAGATTTGGACCACTGACTTTGGTCTTTCTGATTGCAATTCAAAGGGCACATTTACATACATATTTTTTTTTTCTCCTAGATTGAAAAAGGGCAAAGAATTACAGAAGGCCCAGGATATCAAAGAAGTCAAACAAAACATACATTTTATCCAAACACAAAGACAGAAGGTCTGCTAAAGTGATCCTTTTCATGTATGGATTATATTTACACAGTTCACACAGCTCTGTTTTCTTTAAACTATTTGAATACAAGGAGCATAGTGAGGACTATTATAAATATATCTCAATTGCCAAGCAAGTTCTAGTAACTAGATGGTGTGCAGGTCTGCATCAGATCTCATGGTTCCACATTGCCCCCACTGCTAGTATTATGGCTGCATTCTGATCTAAAGTGGACCTGTAGTCGCCCTATTTCCAAATTTGTGAGGTGTTCCTATGATTTTACAGTAGTGGCTTTTTTAATATGTATAAATACTAGAGTTCTGTCTACTCTTACCCTCTCCACACTCCAGCACCCTCCCTGACTTTTTCCCTGGTCCAACTCCAGAGGTCCTCTTTAGGGCAGAAGACACGGTCAATCTGCCCATTTTCAGTGGGCCCAGCCTGTCGTTTAGATACCCCCCTCCTCTCAAGGAGGTCCATCACGCAGGCCGGGCCCATAGTACTCCAGGACTGAGTGGCACTGGCATGCCATTGGAAAAACATTTTTTGCATCCCTAGCCGCCCTCCAGACATTGTGGGCAAAGCATTAGGGTGCCCATACACCTTAAAGTAATTAAAAAAACTGAGGGGCGGGTTTCCGATGACTGCAATGTTGAACGGGCAGTGTGCACTTGCGCACACCGGCCTGTTCGGCATTTGTCTTACGAGCATGCCACAAACCCACAGAGAATCGTACGTTTCTTGGCGGGTTTTTGAACATGCTTGTAAGACAAGTCGTGCGACCTTACATTAGCAGAGGTCGCACGCCTTCCATACACCTTGCAATTATCGTACGATCGCATGATTTCCCACGATCGTACGATTATCGCAACGTGTATGTGCACCTTTTACGCACAACGTTTCTGGACCAACCACAATTGAAAAAGCACGTTTGTTGCGGGAGTTCAACTTTTAACAGGTGCCTTCACTTTTGGCAAAAGAGAGGTCAGGGTGTCGGCTAGGAAGGTTTGCAGTCTAAATACACTATATTGCCAAACGTATTGGGACACCCCTCCAAATCATTGTATTCAGCTGTTCCAATCACCTCCATGGCCTCAGGTGTATAAAATCAACCTAGGCATGCAGACGCTTCTACAAACATTTGTGAAAGAATAGGTCGTTCTCAGGAGCTCTGAATTCCAGCGTGGTACCGTGATGGGTTGCCACCTGTGCAATAAGTCCATCCGTGAAATTTCCTTGCTACTAAATATTCCACGGTCACCTATTAGTCGTATTATAACAAAGTTGGAGCAACTGGGAACAGCAACTCAGCCACGAAGTGGTAGGCCACGTAAAAAGACAGCGGGGTCAGTGCATGTGCAGAAGTCGCCAACTCTCTGCAGAGTCAATAACTACAGACCTCCAAACTTCGTGTGGCCTTCAGATTGGCACAACAACAGTGCATAGAACGGTTCATGGAATGGGTTTCCATGGCCGAGCAGCTGCATCCAAGCCTTGCATCACCAAGTGCAATGCAAAGCGTCGGACGCAGTGGTGTAAAGCACGCCGCCACTGGACTCTAGAGAAGTGGAGACGTGTTCGCTGTAGTGACGAATCACGCTTCTCCGTCTGGCAATCCGATGGATGTGTCTGCGTTTGGTGGTTGCCAGGAGAACGGCACTTGCCTGACTGCATTGTGCCAAGTGTAAAGTTTGGTGGAGGGGGGATTATGGTGTGGGGTTGTTTTTCAGGGGTTGGGCTTGGCCCCTTAGTTCCAGTAAAGGGAACTCTTAAGGCATCAGCATACCAAGACATTTTGGACAATTTCATGCTCCCAACTTTGTGGGAACAGTTTAGGGATGGCCTCTTCCTGTTCCAACATGACTGCGCAAAGCAAGGTTCATAAAGACATGAATGAGTGAGTTTGGAGTCGAGGAACTTGACTGGCCTACAACCCGATAGAACACCTTTTGGGATGAATTGGAGCAGAGACTGCGAGCCAGGCCTTCTCGTCCAACATCAGTACCTCACAAATGCGCTTCTGGAAGAATTGTCAAACATTCCCATAGACACACTCCTAAACATTGTGGACGCCTTCCCAGAAAAGTTGAAGCTGTTATAGCTGCAAAGGGCGGGCCAACTCAAAATTGAACCCTACGGAATAAGACTGGGATGCCATTAAAGTTAATGTGCGTGTAAAGGCCGGCGTCCCAATACTTTTAGCAATATAATGTATCTTAAATGTTACTCTACAAAGGAGAAAATCTTTAGACCCAGGAGAATTTTAGAATAACAGACACGTTGCCGTTAGTTTGGTCTCACTGGTTACTTTATTGTGTGGCTCTAACCAAATAGATGTAGATATTGTCAGGAGATTGGGTTTGAGATGGAGCAGATTTGTGATCTGATTGTTGATACCAGCTATACAAACTCCAGAGCTAAAAAAAATCCCTGATTTTTCTACTTCTAGCTGTTGAAGTAAGTTTATTTGAACATTTTCTTTTTAGGAAAAGCCAAAAAATTGGAAGACAAAATGGTTCAGAAATTACAAGAGGATGTGGATATGGAAGATTCATTATAGAAGTGGAAACAATCTTTATATTGTTAATGCAGTGTGCTTCTATATGGAAACCTTTTGTACAGCATTTCAGAACACAATCCCAACTGCATTTCGAAGAAAGACTGTGTTAATTTGGTCTGAGAAATAATAAAATTTTATCTACTACTATTAGTGTGTTTTTTTTTTTAAATATTTTCATTTATATGTGGTGAGTACATATACACATTAACGTGACCCTAAACTCAGGAGCTAAACCTTAACAATGCATTCAAGTACTTCAACTATAAACAATACTGGGCCTTTTTTTGTGAATCCCTCAGCTGTAGATCCTCAAATAATCTCTGAATTGGTGCTGACACTATCCTTCCTTCTGGAGTGGGACTACTTTTTGTTCCCCATGGTCCCTGTGTGTGTTGTAAAGTAGCCACTGCTCCAAGCTCGCTCCCATGATGGACTACAATCTCATGTTTAGTTTATTAATTTATAGTGTGATTGTAGTCCATCACAGAAGTGAGCTTGGAGCGGTAGCTACTTTACAACAGGAAGACACTCTAAATCTCTTGTCTCTCTCAGTCATCAGTGGGAAGAAGAATGTGGGTAAATGCCCTAGATCAGGGGTGCCTTCAATTTTTGTGTAAAGATCTACTTTTCAAATGACGAGCTACATGAGATCTACCAACGAAAAAAAACCCCTTGCTCTCTTTCCTTGTGCTCCCTCCTGGCTGTCTCTCCCTCCTGGCTGTCATTCCTCATTTTCTCCCCTGGCTGTCATTCCTCATTTTCTCCCCTGGCTGTCTCCCCTGGTTGTCTCCCCTGGTTGTCTGTCTCCCCTGGTTGTCTGTCTCCCCTGGTTGTCTGTCTCCCCTGGTTGTCTCCTGGCTCACCTTGCTGTATTTTGCAAGCAGTGCAACAGGCTGTGTAAACTAATATTCTTTGATGTAATACATAGCACTTCAACCACCAGTATCCACCAGAAAGGTGTCAGGGAGCTTGGCTCAGAAGACTCAGGCTAATAGGTAATTATGTGTGCAGAGCTAAATAAATATACCAAAATGGAATAAAGGGGCTGCCATTCACACCCTTTGTGATCTACCAGCATCAGCTTTGAGAGCTACTGGTAGATCACAATCTACCTAATGGTCACCCCTGCCCTAGATGATTCCACTGTGCAGATAAGCTGGTGGAGCCTAGCTTAGGCACAACCTTACAAGATAGTAACTGTAAGACAAAACCAGACAAATGTCATCAACATGGGAAGGATGACAAGTACAATGCTTTACGCTCCTGTAAATGTATACAGCTTTTGTTTAAAAATACTATAGCTCCTTAAAAACACAGGAATTAAGGCTAAAAGAACACTGTGGACATTTTTTACTATTAACCCTTGCAGTGGGGCTACCCCCGCACTGCAAGGGTTAAGTGTTCGTGTTTGTCTACGTTCAAAAATAAAGTTATTCTCACCTGATCCTCAGAGCCGCCTTGCTTTTAGATTGGTCCCTTCAGCCTGTCTCCTCCGCTGCATCGATGATATGTCCCTCGATGTGCTATACATAGGATAGGATGTGATCACTCGCAGCACCTCAGACCGCTGCAACGGGGGAGTGAGGCTGAAGGTAGACTGGTCTAAAGTCTCTGGATCGGGCGAGTATAACTTTATTTTTTAACTTGGACAAAAACAAGCACTTAACACTTGCAGTAGTGGGGGGAAGCCCATTTGCATGAGTTGAGAAAAAAATTCGCCAGAGTTTTGCTTTAAATGGCAAATGAAAATTACATGCACAATATTTCAATGTGCCTGCCATTATGGATTGTACACCAGATCAGCCATAATGTATTGTACACCAGATCAGACCATGATCGAGTAAGAAGAAAAACACATCTTCTTTATCCTCTTAAGGGACACAGGAATTTTTAGACTGTTGGGTTATATGGCCCCCTACAGGAGAAACAAAAATCCTGTTTTGTTTTTAAGCATGTATATATTGATTTTTGTAGAATACGTAACTTATGGTTAGATGAATTACAAGCTAATTACCCAGCCGGACACATGTCATAGGCAAATTATGCATTTTCGTCATTAAAACAAATACCATGTGCTTTTATATCCTCGACAACCATTTACTGGAAACATCAATGGTGTCATAAAAGTAGTAAGAACACCCCAAGATTGATTTCGATATATATTAGGAAAATGTCTAGGGGTCAAGAGTAAGGATGTTGTAGAAGAGATGAAAGGAAGGGAAAAAGGGGAAGTTATAGATATACCAAATCGTATGTATGTTTGAAATGCAATGAGTATGTTCTAGCAGAGGGGAGTCCACCTGGGTGTGGGCGTGAAAGGGAAGAAGAGTGAGAAAGGTAGATGGGATGGAACATGTACACCTATATAGCTGTAGATCCCTTCATATATTATTAGAAAGACATAAATATGCATATAAGTCACAATACATCAAGTTTGCCTAAGGACCCATCAGATTTAGCCAGGAGATACCAATAGGATTGTTGAAATATGGACATCACATCTTGCAATTTAGTCATAGTCAGTTCGTGTAATAAAAACTTAGACCAGGTCTTAAAAAATGAATCTGAAGTGTAGATTGGGTTTAGTATCAAGTTTATAAATGAGCATGAGGTGGTGCAGAGCTGTTCGAACATTTGTTAAAGTGGGTGGTGTAGGGAGAAGACTAGCTCTAAGAATATTCTTTTTAGCAGCATAAAGGCAGTAGTGTTCCCATTGGGGCAGTGAGGAGTGGGAGCGAGTCGAGGAGTCTTGTGCTACATGGAATAAGCAAAAGGATGGGGAAAGTAACCTTGGGAGGGTTGATAACAGTGGCATGTAACAGAGTACAGTTTCCCAAAACCTTTGAATACTTGGGCATTGCCAAAAAGATGGGTCAAGTTGGGGTGTGGCGATTGGCATTTTGGGCAAGATTGCAGCCAATTTCTATGTGCCAGCATGAGTTGGAAAAAATAGTGCGTGCAGCCGGAGAGTTTGTGGTCAGGAGTTCCAGAGGATGGGAGAGATTCTGCAGGCGAGCATGGGAGGATGTGATGAGGGAGCAAGAGAGCAGGAGGTCTTGGGAGAAGCAGAGAGGATGATATTAAACATCTTACAGCGTGTTCAATCTCTGAATTAAAACAACACAATATGACACAATACCTCTATACCCCTTGCTGGTCTAGCTGAAAAAGCTTGGTCCAATAAAAAAAACAACTTTTTTCATGACTAAGAGGCCCTGTCACCAGTGTGCATGTGTTCACTTTAACAGAAATCTTCCCATACAATTCTTTGCAGGCTAATCACACACATCTCTGTACAGGACTTCCTGAAGCCTATGTTATGCATCTTCCTTTCTTTCACCACTAACCACATTTAAAGCCGGACTCCGGTGAGCATTTGTTTCTTAACCCTCGCAGTGGGGCTACCCTCGTGCTGCAATGGTTAAAGGAGAACTATGAGGTGAGTGCTTTTCACTCATCCTCATAGTTCTAGCCGACCTGTGACAATGAGACTGTCACAGGTCGGCTCAGTAGATCGGGAAGTGAGCGAACACATACCGGCGTTCGCTCACATCTCGATCTTGTCACGGCAGAGAGCCGTGACAGGGGAGGGGCTGGATTCCCCCCTCCCCACTCCGATCCTCCAGCGCTGACTGGCAGAACGGACGGGGGAGGGGGCGGGTACAGCTGGCTCTGCCTCTAGATAGGCAGAGCCAATTGTCACTCACGCAGCTGGGCGGATGCAGACATAATTGTCGGGATCCGTTTCAGCTGCGGCATCTCAGTATACCGTGAGCTGTAGCTTGCGGTATACTGAGCTTAGGGGACGCTAGTTTGTGTCCTCCCGTTACCCTTATTAGGAGAACTATGGTGACAAGCCCCTAACCCCCATAGTTCTCCTTTAAGTGCTCATTTTTGTCTAGGTGCCAGGGCCGCCATCAGGGGGGTGCGGCCATTACTGATGTAAGGGGCCCCAGGCGGCTGGGGGGACCCGAGCTCCGACCGAGCAATTTTTTTTATAAATTAGTATGTACAGGCAAGTTGGTACGGTCCCGGGCCCCCCCTGTACAATTGGTATGTTCCGTACGTGCAGGAAGGGTTTTTTTTAATTTTTTCTCAAAGCGCGAAGCTAGGCATACAGGAGAGGAGCACAACTGCTGGACGGTACAGGTAAGTTTTTTTAAAGCAGCTGCAGAGGGAGGGGGGTATTTTCAGAGACACACTCTAAGGTGGGGGAGAGGGGGGAGCTGTTTTTAGAGACACACTCACTAAGACCCCGTTCACATTGAGCGATTTATCGCGCGGTAATTCCCACGATATCGCGGCAAATTACCGCGCGATATCGCGCTCCAATGCAATCCAATGGGGCAAAGGGTCCTGCTGTCGAAGGGCCGCACTGACAGCCCAGAGGCCGCACTGACAGCCCAGAGGCCACACTGACCACTGCACTGAGCCCACACTGACCACTGCACTGAGCCCGCACTGACTGCCCAAAGCCCACACTGACCAACCGCCCAGAGTGTGTGACGGGTTCTCCTTTCCCCTTCACTGGATTCAGCTGCTGAGGGAGCTGAAAGTGACTATTAAACCCTCAGATTTTTTAATATAAACCAATACTGTAATGCGTGCCTTACTGTAATCCATGGTTGTTTCCCTTCTCTTTGCTGCTCTTCCTTTTAAATCTGTATCTCTTCTCATGCTGGGGGAAAACTTCACTTTGCAGCTGAGTGCCTCTTCCTGTAGTGCTGGCTCAGGTTGTGAACCTACATACAGACACCATGTATCCATTTCAGAGACAAGGCAGTCTGCTGCAAAACAGAAGCTCTGCACAGCATGAAAAGAGATACGGATTTAAAAGGAAGAGCAGCAAAGAGAAGGGAAACAACCATGGATTACAGTAAGGCGCTCATTACAGTATTGTTTTATGTTAAAAAATCTGAGGGTTTAATGTCACTTGAATGTCAACACAGCAGGCATTTAGCTGCTGTGTTGACAGGCTGGGAGCAATAGCCAGCCTGTTATTGATTATTTTAAATTGCAATAGCAGGCTGGCTATTGTACCCGCCCACTGCCTGCTGTCAATCAGCAGAGGAGGGAACTGAAGGAGAAAGTTCCTCATCAGGTCTTCTTCTGCTGATTGACAGCAGGCAGTGGGCGGGTGCAAT